CTACTAACATAACATCACCGGTGATGTTGTGGGCATGTTCTAGTTTAAGTTGGGTGGGTCATTGAAAGTTTTGCACACTTTCTTTTTTTTTCCCCCCCTCTTTTTTTTTTTTTTTTTTTTTTTTTTTTTTTTAAATTTAAGAGTGAGGGAATTTAAACTCTGCACCGTAAATTGAAACCTGATATGAAATTAACGTTAGACCATGTCTCCAGACACTTTCCTTTTAGGATGTTCTTATTTTTTTTCTTGATATTTTAGGGGACGTTTGGAAGGGAGTTTCGGCCCCTGATTCGAATCATGGTTCATTGTTCGCTACAGTATTTTCTCTCATAAAAAATACATGTAAATCAAAAATAATTTTAATTTTATGATTCTAATCCATAAACCAAACATCTCCTTATTTATTTATTTATAATTCAGAGTAGGGGATTTGAACTAATTTTAAGATTGTAGCTGTATGCACAAGAAAATGAAAATGCAGCAAAAAACTCACAAGTGAAGAACACCAAAATTTAGGTTGTCCCCTATAGTAGCTTATAAGGTTTTTTTTTTTTTTTAAATAGAAATTTATCTTTCCTATTTTTCCTTTTTTCTTTTAATTTTTTTAGTGGCGGTTACAAAAGTGATCCTCGAAGTATAGGCTCATTCCCAGATCGTCCCCGTCGCTCTACATTTATTGTACATAAAACCCTATCTGATCAATGTATCATGCATGTCAAAGTTTAAATGAAATGAGGAAAAATAAAAACAAGGGGGAATAGTATGAACTCTAAACTAGGGCTGTACACTGAAAGAGCCATGGATCTTCTCACATCTCAATGAACTCAAATCGTGCAAGAATCAAAAAAATGAGGAGGAATATAAATAGAAAATTTATGTCAAATTCTTTTTCAGATGTTAGCCTATTTTTTTAACACGTGTTAAATAAACTTTCTCAAACAAATCAACTTAAAAATAAGTCACTTTTTTCCTAATATAAGAAGAGTGTCATCCCTCCTTAATCCCTTCCCACGTTTACAACTTTTCTTCCAATTCCCACTCTACTTTTCGTCCCTCAATATTTACACGATTGCCATTGTGTATTGGCTCTGTGCTTTACTTATTGCAATTTCAAGTAAAAAGAGAGTGAAAAGAGGAAAAACCTTCGTATTTGATAAAAAGGAAAAAAAGAAAAAAGAAGAAGAAGAAGACATGAAACGTATTGTTTCAATATTGGAAGAACTTTGTATTGTAATTTTCTTGACGAAAAGAGCCCTCTGCACGAAGAGGTGTTATTAACGTGGGGATTCGATTATTCAAAAAAAAAAAATGTGGGGATTGGAGTAGGGATGGCACTCTTCTAATATATTTAAAAAAAAAAGCTTATTATTAAGTTGATTTGGTAGAGAAAATTGTTATGATACATGTCAAAACAATAGGTTAGAATTTGAAAAGAAGTCTGATATAAAGCACGCATTTAGCATTTCTCAAAAATGAAAAATGCAACTAGAAACTTTTAGAGTTAGTTAGTTAGATTCATTAGTCTGTTAGAAGCTTACTCACCAAGTTGTTAATTTGTTAGAAGCTTACTCAGCAAGTTGTTAATTACTTTGTATATAAAGCTGAGACTGTGTAACTTAATTGGTTAATTGAATGAGAAGTTTCATTTTTCCATTCTATCATTCTTCCGCAATATGGTATTAGAGCGTGTTCTTCCGCTACCCAAATTCTCGTGATTTTTTTTTCTATTCTCGATTTCCTTTGATTTCTTGTTCATACGAGTGCTTCCATGGATTCTTCAGCGTTACCTTCTTCCGGTTCCTCCAATTCGTCACAAGGCAGATCCGCCATTGAGGATCCGATGAATCCTCTTTTTCTCCATTATTCTGATAGCCCAGGGCTTGTACTGGTTTCGCAGCAGCTTACAGGGGACAACTACACTTCTTGGAGTCGGGCGATGATGATAGCTCTATCCGTGAAAAACAAACTCGGCTTCATCGATGGATCTATTCTGCGCCCAGACGGTAAGGATGCAAACCTTCTAAATTCCTGGATCCGGAACAATAACATAGTTATTTCTTGGATTCTTAATTCCGTTTCCAAAGAAATTTCTGCTAGTGTGTTGTTTTCGGATTCTGCCCTAGAGATTTGGATTGATCTTCAAGATCGTTTTCAACAAAGTAATGGCCCTAGAATTTTTCAATTGCGCCGCGAATTAGTGAATCATGTTCAGAATCAGCAATCTATTGGTGTGTATTTCACGAAGTTGAAGGCGCTGTGGGAAGAACTGAGCAATTTCAGACCTTCCTGTTCTTGTGGAAAGTGCTCTTGCGGAGGAGTCAAGGAATTGAATCAATTCTATCAGGCAGAATATGTTATGTCCTTTCTTATGGGATTAAACAATAGCTTTGCTCAAGTTAGAGGACAACTTCTTCTTCTTGATCCATTGCCTCCGATCAACAAAGTGTTTGCTCTTCTTTCTCAAGAAGAACGCCAACGCACTGTCGTTTCTCACAACAGTTCCGGATTGGATTCTGCTTCCAGCTTGGCTTTTGCAACCAATCATGATAGTTCTAAACGAGCTAGTTCTACTAACTCTGCATTTCAGAATTATGGAAATAATAGGGGACAACGAAATGAGAGGCCTCTTAGGTACAAACCTCAGGGGGAGCTTTCTGCTTCTCTTGGCAAACGAGTTTGCAGGCTGCACAAATCAATATATGGCCTGAAATAAGCTTCTCGCCAATGGTACTCCAAGTTTTCGCATTCTTTAATTCAATTTGGTTTTCAACAGTCCAAGTCCGATTATTCTTTGTTCACTAAAGGTACCGGTTCTTCCTTTGTTGCTCTGTTGGTATAGGTGGATGACATTGTTCTCACAGGGCCTTCTTTGGACACAATTAATTCCGTCAAGACCTTCTTACATGGTTCTTTCAAGTTGAAGGATTTAGGACCATTGAAGTACTTTCTTGGCATTGAAATTGCTCGTTCCTCACGTGGGATAGTCCTCTCTCAGCGGCAGTATACTTTACAGCTTCTGGAGGACACTGGTTTTTTGGCCTCTAAACCTGCCTCCCTGCCTATGGATCCTAGACTTTCACTCACTGCAACTTCTGGCGAGCTTCTACAGGATGCTTCTCACTTTAGACGCCTCATTGGTCGTCTCCTTTATGTCACCCTCTCTCGGCCTGACATCACCTTTGCAGTGCACAAGTTGAGTCAGTTTCTGTCACAGCCTCGCGTTCCTCATCTACAGGCTGCACATCAACTTCTTCGTTATCTCAAGACAGCCCCTGGTCAAGGTTTATTTTTTTCCTCCACTTCTTCTTTGCAGCTTCGTGCTTTTTCCGATGCTGATTGGGCCTCTTGTGCTGACACCAGAAAATCTGTTTCTGGTTTTTGTATATTTCTCGGTGATTCTCTGGTTTCATGGAAGGCGAAGAAGCAGTCCACCATATCTCGGTCTTCTGCTGAGGCCGAATACAGGGCCCTGGCTGTCACTACTAGTGAACTTGTTTGGATTCAACAGTTGTTGAAGGATTTTTCTGTTACACTTGATGGTCCTGTTCTTCTTTTTTGTGATAATCAGGCTGCTTTACATATAGCCTCTAATCCCATCTTCCATGAACGTACCAAACACATCGAAATTGACTGCCACTTTGTTCGTGATAAAGTCTCTGCTGGTTTTCTCAAACTCATGTCCATCAGCTCCAAGCATCAATTGGCAGATATGTTCACCAAAGCTTTGCCTTCAACATTATTGTTTCCTTTGTTGTCCAAGATGGCTGTTAAAGACATTCACAGTCCATCTTGAGGGGGAGTTTTAGAGTTAGTTAGTTAGATTCATTAGTCTGTTAGAAGCTTACTCAGCAAGTTGTTAATTTGTTAGAAGCTTACTCAGCAAGTTGTTAATTACTTTGTATATAAAGCTGAGACTGTGTAACTTAATTGATTAATTGAATGAGAAGTTTCATTTTTCCATTCTATCATTCTTCCGCAATAAAAACCTCACAAGTGAAAAACCGGAATTTTATAGACACTCGATAACAAATAAGAAAAAAGAATAGATCCATGAACTAAACTACACCTGAAGGTGGAGTTAAGTGCAGACTTACTAGGTTGTGCTCATATAGTAGCTTGCAAGTTTTTATTTTTTATTTTTATTTAATAAAAAATGTTTTTTTTTTCTTTCTTTAAAGTTTTTAAGGGGTTATTTCAGAAGTGGTCCCCCAAAGTATAGGCTCATTCCCAAGTTACCGCTGGGTTAGTGTGATTTTGATATAATCTTTTTGGGTCATTTTCTGAAGAAACTAAAAGAAAAAAGAGTCGTATTGAAAGGGGATTTGGGATAAATGACCCTTTCTAGGGCTTCTTTTTAGTACGTGGTGAAGTTTTGTTAAATTAGAAAAATAATCATTTATTTGATTAATTTTAGTTTATTGATAATTAACTAGGTGGTTTATCATTAATTAATTAATAATCAACAAATTAGCAGTTTGTCAATGATAAATCTTTGATAAATTAATGATAAATTGATTTATCACTTATTGACTATTATTTATCACTAATTAATTACCGTAAAAAAGGGCGTTAAAAAAAGCTCGGTCCTTTATCTAAAAAAATAATCATAAAAATATTTTGGTCATTTACTAAAAAAAAGTGCTTAAAAAAGATCATTTGCCCAATGTTCTTTGGTTACCTGCGGGATATGATTGCTTTTATAACGAAAAAGGCTTGTAATTAATTTATAAAGAAGATTTAGACTGTAAATAATCTTTTCATGTTGTTAAAAAAAAATTATACTTTCACCAATTTATTTCAGATTTATCTAAGTACTAGTTAATCATGAAGTTTCATTGCTTACAAAGAAAATTAGTTTAGTGCAGCACTAATTCTACTTGGCGAAAGAAAACCAGATAATTAAACACGCATAAAATTTATTGAGTATCGCATATATATATATATGTGTGTGTGTGTGTGTGTGTGTGGAGGAAATTAGCTCTCTCTTTTATATTGGAAAACTCAACTCAGTTTCAATCATTATAATTATTTCTTCTCTTCGTTAAACGCTTTTCTGTCTTCTCCTTCCTTTCGAAAAATCTTTTTTTGCGAACTTGGATCGTCTTCAGCAATGGAGATCAGGCCTTGGAATCCTCTTTCAAGAGGCATTAGATTTTTCCCTACTGAAGTTGAACTGGTCCATTACTATTTGGCTAACAAAGCCACGAACAAGCCTTTTCAAGATCCCACCAACAGATTCCAAGAAGTCGAGCTTTACAACTACACCCCTCACCAACTCAATGGTAATTCGTACATTCGATCAATCTCTTTTTTCGTTTCTCTGCCTTTTTCGGTTTTCTTTTTCTTTTTCTTAATTTGTTATAATCTGATTGCGAATATACGCATTTTTCGATGTCGTTTCGGTTGGTTTCTTTCTCTCTTCAATCCATGATCTGCATGAAAATATAGCTTGTTGTGTTGTTTCTTTTCTGGTTTTTACGTTAGTTTGGTCAGATCTGTCTTCCATTGACGATATGAAAATAGTTTCTTGGTTGTACATTTCTTTTTATAACCTATATATGTATATATAGTTCTTGAATCTTGGTGATCAACGACAGTACTAGTCAAGATGAAGAACAATATTCTGTCCCTTTTTTTTTCCAGTTTCTATGTACTTTTGGTTTAATTTCTTTTTCACTTTTATAAGTTAATCAATAATATTATATCGTTGATCATCAAATTAACATTGACGAAGTGGCTCTTCTAGTTTGTCTTCTGTGTTGTCTTTGTTGTTGTTGTTGTTGTTTTTTTCCCCCCCTCTTCTTTGATTCGTTATATATATATATATATATATATATATATATCTTTTTCTCTTTTTCCTTTCATTCCCCTCCGTTTAAAAACATAACATGAAATCGGTAGTTCTGTCAAATATACAATGAAGGGTTTTCTTCTAATTTGTACTTTTCAATACGTACTAACAGAGAGATATGGAGGACTACATAAAGAAGCAGAAATGTATTTCTTCGTTAAGAAAGTGTTGAAGCATCGAAAAGGAAAACGTCTTGAACGTAGAATAACTAATAATAGTGGATATTGGAGATCTACTACTTCAGAGATAGACATAAAACTCGCCGGAAATTTAGTTGGACATAGGAAGATCTTAGTTTACTACAGCAGAGACGAAGGAAAGACCAACTGGCTCATGTATGAATATAGATTGCCTGATAATAATATGGTGCAGGTATGTATACGACAAATCGTAAACTAAACTTTGATATGATCACCAAATTTTGATATTTCGTCATTTGATTTGTAGTGGTGATTAATTTTTTTGTGATTTTCTACTGCAGGGTGATGATTGGCTGCTTTGCCAGGTGTATCTAAATGAAATGGAGGAAACTAAGTATAAGACTCAGCTTAACTTAGCCTTGAAGTCTGCAGCTATGATCAACTTTCTGACAAAGACAGCAAACAAGCAGGGCAATCCACGGTTGTCATCAGCTCCAACCATGAAATCAAAACAGCTAGATTCCGATCGAATTGTTCCTTCTCATCTCGGGTCTATTTCCACTGATTTGCTGTTTAAGAAGGCTAAATCTGCTCCATTGTAGATTTTCCTTCAAATAAACTTAAGATGGTTTTATTGTTTTCTATTTGATAGTCTCTTTGTTTAGTGCCTTATGTGTGTTGGGCAGAATTTCTTTGCATGAAATATTTTATGTTTTAATCTGGAAACTTTGGGTTGAGAATTGGTTATTAAACTATAGTACTACTGATGCATCACATTCTCTCCTGTTAACTAAGGTTGGATATTGAGTTATCTTGTGTACTAAACTTAGCCAGTGAAAGAACATACACAGATTTATATATGTTTTTGTTTGTGTTTCTGACTTTTTCAATGAGCAAAATCTATAAACTTATAGTATGTTATCACAATTTCTTTCCATGATTTTCATAATTCTGAGAAGCCAGATACAAGGAGAGAATTAGTTCTCTGAGCTCTTTATACTAGTAAGCTAACTTATTCATAGAACTCATCTTATTGTTAGTCTCTCAAGAAATTTAACCCTAATTTATTATATAGGAAAGATGAAATTAATCAAGCAAGAAGCATGGATTTTTGTTAAGAACAAAAAGGTGTGGACCATCTCTTCAATTCATGATGAATCAGAATTAAGAAAGTCTCATCTAATTTGAAGTTAAAATTTTGGTGAGCAATGACAAATTATTGAGTTTATTTCATCACCATAAGTTAAGTACCAAAGCAACCAAATCTGATGTACATGGTCACTTTAAAATTTTCCCTTCTTTTCTTTCCTTTCCTATTCTTTTTTTTTTTTTTTTTTTTTTTTTTTTTTTTTTTTTCAGCAATTGGTAATAAAGTACAATAGTGCAATAATGGATATGTGCATATCATCATTACTCATATTCTAATTAGATTTCTTGATATCTGTCCGAAACATGTTTGGATATGCATGAATAAGCATGTCATCATAATCCAGATCATAATATTTTGTTCAAGAAATAGATACGGTTTGAATAAACTAATTAATTCTGTATTGCAAAATGTCACAATGAAGAATGCTTTGTTATTGTTGTTTGGCAAGTGTTTTGAGTCGTAAAAGCCCAAGTCTTGTGGAAAGTGGGAAACGTGGATGTCTACCATAAAACAATGTCCACTTTCTCCACTGGACACAGAACATGTAATAAAAAAAAAAAATTCCTTGAGATATTTTTACAGTTGCCCTTTCTTTTATTCTTTCATTATTACTTGTTTAAAGTAATAACACTCTCATATGTAGATCACTTTCTATTTCTATCAACTTGGTTTTGCAGTTTGCTTGTTCTAAACACCAAACTGTGGAAAGGTTTTTAAAGTTTTTTTTATTATTATTTATTCTCATGACGACCTTTCCTTTTGCCAAATAACGATTAAAATTTTGCAATTGGTTCTCTGTTATAATAATATAAACCAGTTTGGTGGTTCTGTCATATACACCAATGATACAAACATTGTATGTCACCTTTTTACTTTTTTCTTTTTTGTTTTGTTTTGTTTTGTTTTTTTTTTTTTTTTGAGTGTTGTTAGGGGTAACCCTTCAGAAACTGCAGGGTTATTAACCTTCTCTTTTGGGCCTCTCTCAACAAAGTGTCCTAAAAATTATCATATGTTTCATGTTTCATAAGCAGTGATCATAGATAACAGCATGTTCAGCTTCGCTTCTAATATTTGAATTAATTAAACTTCAAAAAAAAAAAAATACAATATGCCTTAGATTTCACTTTAGATTCATGTTGCTTTGAAAGTTTAATTCAAGTTTTCAAGAAAAAAAATCCGGCCCAAAAAGAATTTGCAGTTGTCAGTTGAATTGTCTTATAATTTGTGGAGCAAATAAGAGCTTTCTAAATCCTAAATTGCCAAACCACATTTTATTAATGGATACTAGATAAGATTAACACCAACATAAAGAGAATAAATAAATCATATAAGACACCAGATATGATACAGAAATTAAACTTGCTCAAAAGCCCTTTTACTCATGTAGAACAACTTATATAAACTCCAGGTAAACCATTTTCTTTCCACCATTTTTTTTAGTCATATCACTACAATATTTCACCTACTAATTTAGTACTACTCTTACGCAATTCCACCTTCTTAATCAACTTAATTGAGTGAACAAGAAGCATTACAAAATGCCCACAAAACATTATACCAAATTAAACACAAAACTCTAGCACCAGATAACTAACTATAGATGAAGTAGTAGTAATTAACAGTCAGCACATCTCCCAAACTGGGGCTTCGGAGTGTGGCGGTTATTCGCCCCTGAACCCGGGTAGTCATGGAGCTCCACATCCATCCTTTCAGCAACAGTTTTCTCCTCCAAGATCTTCTCTGTGGTTACCTATTTGGTTTCAGAGAAAAAGATTAAAAAAAAAATTATATGTCACTTATTTTTAAGAACAATATATGCATGAGTTTTTTTTTTTTTTTTCATCAACAAATCTGATCATATATATACCTGTTTGTGGATGGTTCCTTGAGGAAGATCATGAGCTTGGTTTCCATGCATTAAGCCTCTAATCCCTGAACATGTAACAGAAATATGAGGTTCAAATCATATGATTAAAAAGAAAAAAGAAAGAAAAGAAAAAAAGTCAATATATACTTGTAACTGGTACAGCATTTGAGAATATCAGGTGAGAAAAACACAACACTATAACAAGTACTTGGAGAAAGAGAGTCCTTGAAGCCATTTCTAGCTAGAGCAATATTCTTCTTAGTGGAAGAAGAAGAAGAAGAAGAAGAAGAAGAAGAAGAAGAAGAAGAAGAAGAAGAAGAAGAAGGAGAAGAAGAAGGAGGAGGAGGGATTTAGAAGAAGAAGAAGGAGGGATTTAAATGTTGGCTCTCCTAAAGCCGTTTGATACTCAATTTATACATTTACGTGAGCCAAGTTTAAAGAGAATTTTCTAGAAATTGTAGTGAAGAAAGAGCAATATTCACATATATAGACATTAAAAAGTCAAAAAGGTGACGGAAAACACCACAATTTTTGTGGGGGGCCTAACGCGTTTCCAATCTTTGCACTGCCTTGGGAGTGTGAACCATAGATTTTAAAGATAAAAATACAGTGAGGGCTCCACCAAAGGGATTTTACTAAGTGGGGTTTAATTGTCATGAAAATATTAATAGGAGGAAAATGAGAAAGATGGAGCACACTATGTGTGCAAGTGGATGGTGACACAAGTTTGATGTTGTGGAGGCAAAAATTGAGCTCATTCACTAATTTTAGGTCAATTAGTGGGAATCATCATTGGTGCTCAAGGATATTCAATGAATTGTATATTTACAGTACAATACACATCAAAAAGGTTTTCCATATGCAAGAAAATATTGGTCCTTTAAGTTACATGTCACTTAAGTAGTGTTTCATCACCTCCGGTGTGATAACATAGCTATGAAGGACGACCTATCAAGATTTTTTCACTTAATACTATAGAGATTAATTGACATTATCCGAATTCAGGTAAAAATTATATCTCTTATCAGCTTATCAAATATAATCTGAACTAAGGTAACTTTGAACCATTTAGTTCGCTGATTCGAGTTTTTAATTTGAGTTGAGATATGACTTTATGTGAGAGCTTTTTACTGTAGCAAAAAAGTTAGATGTGACTATTTTTGAAAGTTTTTTGCTATAACAAAACTCGAATCGGTGAAAGGGTCTAAGGATAACATGAGTCAAATTCTATTATGTATGCAGTCCCAATAAACTACGAAGGCGCCGCTAATCTAGGGGCTTGAGAACGCTACTAATCCTCTTTTTTGCAAACAAAAAGATTGTCTTATGTGTGACGTAGCTTTAGTGGCACAAAGACAAAGGAAAGTTGGCGCAGAACAAAGTAATACACCCACCAAATGTGGTAGCAATTTTTTTTCGTACTTATATTTCTGTAAGGCCAATATACATGATTGATGAAGATTGTAAATATTCGTATGTACTCAATTGATCTTGTATGGCTCAGAGTCTGAGGCATATATTTATGTTCAGTAAATTATGTTGGAAAAATGGCTTGTTAAGTCGGGTTAAAGGCTCATTTTGAAGTCCATATTAGAAAGGGTCTCAATTGGATTTTGGGACGGATCTCGATGGATTTGCGTTCTCCGTTACAAGAAGATCAAAATTAGATATTCATACGTTCAAAATGAATATTGGGTGAATGAGAAATTGATGCTCTAAGAATACCACTTGAAATGGTTAAGTTGGTTTGAAAAGTACAAAATCTCACATTAGCTAGGAATGAAGCCTTGGTGGTGTTTATAAGTGATTGCACTTTGAAGTCTAGGTAAGTATGTATGTCAGAGAGGTTCTTTCACGCACAGGGGGGTTGCGAATCACGATCCTGACGGGTTAGGGGCCCAATGTGTGTTCCTGCGATCTGCGGACACGAATGCCAGATTGGAAAGCCCACTCCGTGCGGGGCTTATTTTGCAATTTTTATTTTATTTTTGATCAAAGAAAGGCCCAAGACCTTCACATTCCGGCCAAAACTGAAATTGGCTTGCGTAATGGTGGTTAAAGGTGCGTAATGGTGGTTAAAGGGGCTTAATGGCTAGTTTAATGGCTGAGCTTAATTGTAATATAATGGCCGGCTTAATGGCTAGTATAAGGCTTCGGTTTTTCTTCTTAAAATCCGAACCTAGCTATGGTTTGTGGCTGGATTCATCTCAGAGGAAGGAGCACGGGTTTGCATCATAAAGTTTGGACCATAATTGTGTGATTAAGTTCCATAAATCCTTGTCTCATAACCCCTTTCTGAAGAGCCTATATAAAGTGTGTAACACATGAAGACACAACAAGTTGAAGCACACATCCCTTCTCTCTCATTTTTATTTCCTTTCCCTTCTCGAGTTCTTTTTGTGGTCATTTTCGGTGATAGAGGAAAGGTCCAGTTCTAGTTCACTGAGACGGTTCCGATAGTGTTTCGCACTGCCATCGTTGTCATTATATCCTAGGAAATAGACGTCTAACGTAACCTCAAGTACTTGCCGGAAGGGCCGAATTTGATTTAAGGAAAGCGTGGTTCATGTACCTCGACATCTTTGCCAATTCATTTGTTTAAGTTTGGTAGAAAAGTTGAATTTGTATTGTAACAATTTGAATATATTGTTCTTGCAACGAGTTTATTCATATTGTTTTTCTTTGTATTTTCCAAATTATTGCCTAACAAATTAATTATCAACTTTTTTCCTCTAGTTCATTATAAACTATAGTATATAGTAATTATATAGTAATCCCAGTTTGTGACAATCAAGATGTTCTGTACAGATAGAATACAAGTGAAGGTCATTATAATAGGTTGGCACTGTTACACTTACAACCCGTTCACTTCGCTGATTCGAGTTTAGAATTCGAGTTGAGATGTGACTTTATGTGAGAGCTTTTTGCTGTAGCAAAAAAGTTAGATGTGATTGTTTGTGAGAGCTTTTTACTGTAGAAAAACTCGAATTCTAAACTCGAATCAGCGAAGTGAACGGGGCCAATTTGCCTTTTGTTGCATGAGCCAGCACTATCATTACTGTTTCAGCCTTTGATAGAAACAAGCCTTTGACATAAACAAAGTCTTATACCTCTCTCTTGGTTGCAAATCTATGAATTCGACCCCTTTTTTATTATCCTTTTTCGTGCCCCCTAATAATATTAGGTGACATCAATTAAAACATTTTAACCACGGAGCGTGGTGACCTAGCGGTAATAGAGTATTATGATGGGTTTCTGATTACAGCTTCTAGTGTTAGGTTATCCACTTGAGAGTATTAAATGTGAAGGTTTATTTTCTGTCAGTTTAATACTTAATTTAGAGTGTCTGAAACGACACCACATATATCCTTACGGTGGGTATATTTAGTGAGACTGGAGTAATGTGCTCCTCGTGAAAGTGGTAGGGTCAGCATGTAGAGCCTTTAGCAAACTTTTTTTTGCCAGTGTTTAGGGTCCCATTTGGTAAGACTTAAAGGAATATGTTAACATTTGTTGCCTCTTTTTTCCGGACTTTTCTTCAGCAAAAAAATCAAGATATTTACCTAATATGATATTTTATAAGGTGTGAGGTGATATTTTAATTGACGTGTTATTTAAATGACGTGACATTGTATTATTAGAGGGACACAAAAAAGAAAAAATAAGGGAACACGTAGAATCTTAAAAGTCTACGTGTGGCTTACACATGTCGGCAGAGTAGATCATATTCCGCGCCAACTTTTTTTGGTCAACATTGAAACTACGGCTAATTTTCACTCTTGACTATAGGTATGAAATTGCTAATGAACCCAGCCAAAAGGTTAGCTGGACATAATCATCCCAACCATGAAATTTCCTGAATCTTTGTTGAGTGCTTCTTTCGAAGTTGTCTCATTAGTGGTTGTAACTTATAATTTTACTAGTCTGACTTAAGCGAAGACCAACTTATAGAAATTTCCTGGTGGGAATTAATTGTACTCTTACAGCATAATCTCAGAATTTTGCCCTTTTTTTCTTATTATATATTATTGAAATAGGAATGCAATTTCCAACCACAAAGCAAGACAAGCTATTCTTCATGTCTATAAACGAAAATCAAGAAATCTATTTGCGCTTTTGTGGAGAACGATTTCCAACATTAATGAATTTGTATTAGGAGTTAAAAACCAATTCAATGAGTGTTAGATGCTCGATCTGGTTGTTTAAAGTCCAACATATGAGCGAAAAAATAAAATGCGAGAAATAAAGAGGACACTAAAATTTATTGTGGTTCACCCACAACGAAAGGGCTACATCGACTATAGTATTTGGTTTTCGACTATGTATAGAAAAAATAGTACAAAAGGCTTGAGAAAGTTTGAGAGAGACAATAATGGAGGATAAAAAAAGAGAGAGGGGCTGTTTTAGGGCGTATTCTAGAGTTAATGCACGAGTTGGGATGATCTTGATGATGAGAGAAGGCCTCCTTTTATAGCTATAAACTCTGGTTGCCTGTGTGGGGCTAGCGCTAGCTTTTATTTTTTGAATAGAGTTGACTTTTCTAATTGTGTCTTTTGTCTTTTTTCCTCGTAGACTTAGTATCTTCTGAGATATGGACCAGCTTTGGTGCGATTTGGAACTTTTCTAAAATCCCAGAACGGAAGATGTTCAGAATATTTTTCGGAACAGTTTTCTCTTCCCCTCTATTGAGCCGTCGCAATCGATTTCTAATGTTGCTATTGATTTAAACTGATCTTCAATCTAGGTCTTCTTAGCTAACATCTTCAAGTCTTAATTGACTCAAGTTGACACGTATACGATAGAGATTGAGTGACGAAATCTGATCTCAATACTTTCTGAACTTGTATTTCAGTTTTGTGTCATTCACTTTTAGAATTATTTCCCTTTTAAGTTAATATATAACAAAGAAGTCGAGGACTGAAGTCTTATAATGTTTGAGAAATGGTATAGGTCTTTATGCCCCTCCAATAGAAAGGCTTTCTTCCAGATTCTTAACGAAAAATAGGAACTAGCAAAACATGCTACTTATTTAATACTTGTAATCTTTCAAAAAAAAAAAAGGAAAAAGCATATCTTATATAGCCATTAACAGGTCCCTTATATGGTATTTTGTAAATTGGACACGGGAAATATTCACATGGAAGTGGAAAAATCTCTTCAAAAAGCAAGTTTTTAAAAATCAAAGCTGCAGCATATCATGTTTAATGAAAATAAATCAGGTCAGTTCAGTTAGATTTGATTATCCTATTCCTAGAAAATAAATATTTATAGTGGTTGCATGTTTAGCCTAACTTTGTGGTAAAT